GCCAAGAGCAGCTGGGATGGCAGGGCACCTCGCTGCCCCCTAAGTATGCCAATAGTCACATTGGCCCACCAAATGGGTGCTGCTACCTGCAAAGCCAGACATTGGAAACCACCAGGTATTCCTGGGGAGAAAGAGGCGATTTTCTGCTCTGTAAAGAGTTAGTCTTGGAGATCCACAGAGGCTCTTGTGCCCTGTCCTACGAGGCTGCTGTAGAGGGACTGGATGGCAGAGAGTTGACTGAGGTGCACACACCTGCAGGATGACAGCCCCCTGCTGCTTGCTGCTTGTCCCTGAGACTTGGAACATCCCACCCACCCCCAGCTATCCATGGCTCCGGCAGCCCCAGGGGCTCTGGGCAGCCTCTAGTACCAAGTCCTTCTGATGGAGACTTCTGGCTACCCAGGGAATTGTTAGTTCTCTGTGACTTCTGCCCAGATGAAGGCGTAGATGCAGGGGACTTTGCCCTGGGGCAGAGAGGATGGTCAGACGCTGGCCACTCATGCTGCCACCTCAGTCTTTGGGCAGCCAAGCTCCCAGGTGCTTGGAGGAGAGGGTCACCTAATGACTTCCATGTCATTAGGCCTTGTTGTCTAGTGTATGGGTCCCCCGGGCAGGCAGTGTCTCCCACACTGCCCGGGAACTGCGTGGTCAGCGGGTCGGCTTTAGGAGTAACTGCCCGAGGCCCTCTGAGGGCACCTCTCAGGGGTAAGCTGTGTCCTGCCCCATGGCCAGCCAGCTGCCCACTCCTGCCCCTGCACGTCATTGGTCAGAGTCCCTGCTGCAGCCAGGCTGACTGGGCCCAGAGGACACTCTCCTGTCTCATTCACCACGGCCCAGACTTCCCACTCAGACAGCACGCGACCCTGTTTCTCCCCTCCCTCTGACCCAGATGCCGTGGGGCGGCCGGCAGCTTGCTCCGTGATCCCACCAGCACACATGGTCTCCGTGGGGCAGGCTGGGTAGCCTGAGGGGCATGAGTGAGTGTGTGTGTGTGTGTGTGTGTGTGTGTGTGTGTGTGTGTGTGTGCTCAATCAGACTTGTCTGGCCTTCAAGGGTCCCTAGCCTAACCAGAGCATAAAAAAAACCCTCTCTGTCTTCACTCCCTGATTTCACCCTCCTCAGAAAATATCACTCGATGTCATTAGTCCAGGGTCACCCTCAGAGAGGAGCCACCTGTCCTCAGCTGCTTTGCACTGGAGTGCTTCTGAGAGCCTTTGGGGACAAGCCACTCCCACACCTGGCAGCTGTAGTGCAGGACCCTGTGGCTCAGGGGAGGTCCCTCAGCCTAGTTGGATGGAGTCCCCACTGGATGCTGGATACAGAAGTATGGTGGGGTTGGAGGGGGGGGGCAGGAGAGGGACTCTATGGACTTCAGGCGACCATTCCATACCAGGCACACAGATGGCACAGAGCATGAGCCAATACTAACCACAGACGCCCCTGTGGGCCCACTCACACCTGATGGTGGGTGCTCTTAGCTCCCACCAGTGGGGGTCCTACTTCCCAGGGAACCCCTTCTCTCCAGAGTGTCTGCGGCTGGAGCAGGACCCAGTATGAAATTCTAACCAAATTTCTCAACAAATGAGATTTAGGGATAGAACTGGCGACTTGGTAGTCAAGCGGCTGGGCTGCTAGCTGCAGCATCAGCAGTTTGAAGATAGCACTCCGATGAGGCCATCTACTTTGCTGGAGAATACAACCTTCAAGGTCAGAAGGAATTAGAAGGCAATCGGTTCCCTTTGGGGACCCACCTTCGCCTTATGTTTCCGCGCAACACTGCTCCCTGCCTTCCCTTGGCCTTCATAATCTCCCAGCCTCCTCAGAGAAGGGAGGCCTGGCCTATAGCAGCCAGCTAGAGGGCCCTTCTGGCATGCAGCTCCCTGAATTCGCAGGGGAAATGGGAAGCGCCAGCCCCCACCCCCCACCCCTCCGGGCTAGGGTGGAGCTGCCCTCCGGCTTGGTTGTGGGAGCTCGCGTGGGCCAGGCTCAGAAATGGGGCTCTAGAAACGGGGTTCCAAACAGGAAGGTATTCTCTACTCCAAGCTCCCTCCCATTCGATTTCAGTACAACCCTTTCCGCCGCCGAGCACCTCCCCACCCCCAACTGCTGGACCTTCCTCCAGTGGCCACCAAAGAAGGAGGGGACTCCGTGGGTGGCACAGGTCCCCCCACCAGCCCGCCAGCCCCAGATGGCCCGCAAGGTCAGTCCTTGCTGTTGACCAGGAGGGCCAACGCTTGTCCATTTCTACCCTGAATCTTTGTTAGGGGCCTCTTTCAAATTTTGCTCTCCAGTGTTGAGGTGGAGAGAAATTCAGTGCCTTTGAGAAGACTGAGGTGACGAAACGAATCAGGGAACCTCAGCAAGTCCGCGGGACCCTGGTGCCACAGCACGCTGTCCCCAGTGCCTGGCTCTTTTGCAGTTCAAAGAGCAGGGGTAGGCTGGGCGAGCCGAGGAGCGCAGAAGGAGTGGAGCTCGCAGCTCGCTTCCTGGGACCACGCCAGCCGCGGCTGGGGACTGAGCCCCAGGTGGCTGGGCCGCAGCTGACGCCCAGAGCCCTTGGGGGTAGCAGGGCAGAGTGGGGTCCTGCGACCGCCCCCAAGGAGAGAGTCAAGGAAAACAGCACAAGGAGGCGCCCTGAGCACCCTGATCCCGCGGCTGGCACTCCCCTTGCCTGGCAGGTCCAAAGTTCTGCGTGCTGGAATGAAAATGTTCTCTTCCAACTCAAGCTTCATTCTCAACCGAAGGGAAAGTGAATTTAGACTTAGGTGGAAGAAAACTAGGAAAAGTTAATACAAGCGAGCAGTTAGAACACAGCTCAGTCGTATTTTAAAGAAAATAAGTGTAGGGAGAATAGATGGACAATCACCTATTTGTCTTAGGATGGAGACCGGTGAAATGGTCCCCAAATTCGGTCCCAAGGGATCGCGCTTACAGCCACCTCAAGTCTGAGCCAAGAACCCGCTCTTGGTACTGCTTCCCCTACCCCCCCCCCACCCCCCCCCCCCCCCCACCCCCCGCCCCCGCAGTGGAAAACGCCCGACGGTACTTTACATTTAAAATCTCAACACTCGACCATTTATTTCGTTTTTGCAACCAAACAAGTAATAAATATTATTTAGCACTTTTTTGTTGTTTTTACAAAAATAAAACAGATGATACACTCTGCAGGGGGCAGCGATCAAGGAAGGGGGCTGCGGACCTTACCAAGCTGAGCTGGCAAAGCAGGCTGCGCAGAGCGCAGGCAGGTTGCGCTGATACAGGAAGCACTTGGGGAGTTTGTCATTTGTGTTAAATTTGGCAGAAAAGAAAAAGAAAGAAACGAATACCGACAAAACCCAGCTTAGACTCCAGTGGGGCTCAGTCACGTGAGCAAACAGCTTAGCAGCACTGCACTTACCTCGTCACTGATTAATTGTACCTACACATCCGAAAGAAAGAAAACGTAAGAAGCCAACTGAATCCCCCAAATCCAAACCAAACTCAATGCCATCGAGTCAATGCTGACTCAGTGACCCCCCTGTGGGTTTCTGAGACAGTTACTGTTTATGCGAGTAGAAAGCCAAGTCTGTCTCCCACGGAGCTGCTGGTGGTTTGGAACTACCAACGCATAACCACTACACCACCGGGGCTCCCCAGTAGCTCAAGTGTATTCACCCCATATCCTTTTAGTGTTGACAAACTCCCAAGTATCAAAATAACTGCCCCCAAACTGAGTGAGGAACCGAATTACTTTGTGCTCAGAGACAGAAAGCTTGGGGGCGGGGGGCGGTCGAGGGGACTGGAAAGAGAGAGTGTGTCTATCTTAAAATCACAACAAAAAACACCCACCCCACCCCCAAGTCGGCAGTTTTGTTATTCCGCAAGCGTTTTTTGTGCTGGCCATCTAGAAGCTTGTTTGTACTTTTGAAAAGGGACATCCGACAGATTTATTAGAAAACCACAAGCCCCCAAGGCAACAGGAGAGACGGAGTGCTTGCTCAGAGCCGCCCCAGTTCTCCGGCGGTCGTGGGTTTTCCCCGCTATGGAAACTGGTCGTAGCCCCTAAGCAGCTTTGGTGCCCAAAGGCAACAGCAACTAAACGCTCGCGCCAGGCTCTGGGTCAGGGCAGAGCTTCAGGGCAGTCCAGGGAGGTCTCTTCCTGGGAATGCGCCTCTTCCTAACTCCCACTGGCCCAGAAAGAAAAGAGGCCGGAGGTGTGGTCCCCAATGCCCTCCCCCCCGCCCCCCCAACGAAGTGCAGCTCTCGGGCCGAGTGTGGCCACCATCCGGGAGAAACGAAAGTTTTTAGAAGAGTTTTCTGGGAGGCGGGAGGTCGAGGGAGGGATGCTTCCAGGCTTGTCTTTTTATAAAATGGTATCAGCCCAAGAGGACTTTCTCCCACGCCTCAGTGCTCCCCCCTAGTGCTCCCACGCCCTGGTGCTGGAGTCCCCACAAATGTCCCCCAAACCCGGTCCCCGGTCCCACGCCTCCTTGGCAGTGCCCGCCAGTCCCGGCCTCCTCCTCGCCGCGGCCCCCTCTCCCTGCTTGCTAGAACGTTCGGCACTGGCTGGCTCACTTGGCGTCAGAGGTGAGGCGCGGCAGGCTGCCCGCGCTCATGGCCGACACG